ATAAAATCCGGCATTACAGAGTGGGACAATAACTGCTGGGGAAAATCGGAAACTTTTACGGAAAGGAAACTGCAAGAAATTGCTATCTTATTCATAGCAATATCTCTTGTTTTAACCCAGAGTATTTTTCCATTTCATTTGTGATTTCGTTTTTTAGGTCTTGGAGATTGAGAGCTGAGTTTTTAGAGCTCTCAGGAAATAAAAATTATTACCTATGGGATTTTAAGTGTTTGATATTCTTTAATTAATAATAATTTTGGTCTGTTTTTTTTTTTTTTTTTTTTTACATAGAGCTCTCCTTGGATCTATATCTTCCTGGAAATTACATACGGATTATCATATTTCATCATTACTATTTATATAGATGAGGATAAAATTAATTAATATATATATATATATATATATATATATATATATATATATATATATATATATATATATATATATATATATTAAGGCTAGTCTCATTGAATAATTTTGACAAGTTTTGTCTACTTATATTCAATATGATCCTCTCACAGACAAGATTCTTAGTATCCTTATTAAAGGAAGAGAAAAATACCATATTGATACATATTCATTTATTCCGAGTACTTTCGGCATGAGCAGAATGTCATCATCACAGTGTTGTTTTTTCTAAGACAAAAATTGTTGTGTTCCTCATTTTTCTAAGACCAATTCTTTGTGTTCATCTGAAAGTTAAATTGTTATCTGTGAAGTGAAAAACGCTAAGGTTATGCAATTATTTAATTATTAATTTCACTATGGAAATGCATTTCAAATGAATTTTACCATGCGAATGCATTTCAAATTAATTTTACCAAGGGAATGCATTTCAAATTAATTTCACTATGGAAATGCATTTCAAATGAATTTTACCATGTGAATGCATTTCAAATTAATTTCACTATGGAAATGCATTTCAAATGGATTTTACCAAGGGAATGCATTTCAAATTAATTTTACCAAGGGAATGCATTTCAAATTAATTTCACTATGGAAATGCATTTCAAATGGATTTTACCAAGGGAATGCATTTCAAATTAATTTTACCAAGGAAATGCATTTCAAATTAATTTTACCAAGGGAATGCATTTCAAATTAATTTCACTATGGAAATGCATTTCAAATGGATTTTACCAAGGGAATGCATTTCAAATTAATTTTACCAAGGAAATGCATTTCAAATTAATTTTACCAAGGGAATGCATTTCAAATTAATTTCATTATGGAAATGGATTTTACCATCAGAATGCGTTTAAAATTGATTTCACTATAGAAATGCATTTCAAATGAATTTAACATGGGAATGCATTTGAAATTAATTTCATTATGGAAATGGATTTCAAATGGATTTTACCATGAGAATGCATTTCAAATGAATTTTACCAGGGGCATGCATTTCATATTGATTTCACTATGGTAATGTATTTCAAATGAATTTTACCATGTGAATTCATTTCAAATAAATTTTACCATGGAATGTGATTAAAATTGATTTCACTATAGAAATGCATTTGAAATGAATTTTACCATGGAACTGCATTTCAAATGAATTTTGCTATAGAATGGCTATTCAACTTTTTTACATTTGAAATCTATACGAAATGATTTTAACATCAAAATGCATGTCATGTGATATTTACTATGTGAATATATTTCAGATATATATTTAGAAAATATGCAAGAAAAATATCCTGCCGGTGAACGCATACAATTTCTGAAATATTCAGACCGGTAGACGAAAATAAATAAGTATCAAACGGGGCGTCTACTTAAATACGAGTAGCAACGAAAAATAGCGTTTAAAGCCGAATTAATAAAAAAATCCATTCTGATCTGATATTTTCTTTGTTAACGTTTGGATACGAAATTGCGTGCAGATATGATAAACTTCGAGAATCTATGACAAGAGAAGTTTCACTTGAAGTCACAAAATTCACCTGACATATTACGTTTCGTCGTCAAGTTGGTTAAGTCGTACCGGGCTTAAAGGTTGCTCTCTCTGCCCTGAGGGACACAAGTTCATATATATATATATATATATATATATATATATATATAAATAAAGAACAGTAAGATATAAAATCCGGCATTCTTATAGAAATTTTTATTTTTACAAAATAGTGCTCAATGTAAATTTACAGAGCATTAATATTATAAATTAATTGATTTAAAATATGGTTTTTTTTCGCTACACAGTTCCAACTATGTTTCAAAAAATAGAAAGTAAAAACCCCGAATTTAATTAAATTCGGGGTTTTAGTTTATTTTATATATATATATATAAGCTTCTATTATATATATATATATAATTCCTTCGATACATAAGAGTTCTAATGTTTCAAAAACAAGAGCCAAAAAACTTAATATAATTATTGAAATTAAATTGAATTTAAGTATCAAACCCTGCTTCATCCTCAAGCGAAAATTTAGGAATAACCAATCTTGAAATTTACGCATCTTTATAAGCATGTTCATTCGCAAAATGAAATAGAAACGGCTGGAGCGACTAGTTTGATAAGGAACATAAGAGTTAATTTGTATCTACGTATCAGTCACCTTCGGAAAGAGGTCAAAAGAAAGAAAGAAGGCCGGGGTGTCCATTTCAAAGCGAATGATGGCATTCCATTATGCACATCGTCAAGTAAGTCACAGCGACAGATAGCTGTTGGCACCATAATACGTCGTTTATTTTATTTGTTTATTTATTTATCCTAAAGGGCTGTTTCGTACATAAACGCGTCTCACTGAACTACAATTTGTTTTTTTATGACTTCATAAAAGGTTTTTCTATCTTATGACTTGGTTAAGCTTTTAAACCTTTTATTAGACTATGAAATTTAATTATCTTTATGCTAATTATTTAATGCGAAAATTTGTTGATGTCGGCAAAAAACCGTTAACTCATCTCTATGCTTTAATAAATTTTCATTATTTAGAAACTTAATAATGTGTAGATTTTCATGTAGGCATAAAGGACATGGGTCATCCCAGGTTTTATAAGTTCTTGTTCTATTTATTATTTTCCATTTTACTTTTGGTGTTTTATTCATTTCTTTGAAATGCCAAAAATATTTGGATCGAGATGTCTGATTTCTATTTCTAATATTATTGAAGGAGCTTTTGTGTTGTCTCCATCTAATTTTAAATTCATTCTTCGTTGAACCAATGTATATCCTTTCAGTGTTAGGACTCTCAATGGATGAGATAATGCATTGGTATACCACAGATTTTGTGCGGCATTTATTTTCCAACGGGCAGTCTTCAGGGTTTCTACAATCATTTTCATTATTTTTGTCTAATTTTAGTTTAGGATTTTTATTAATACTGTTTTGGCATGCGTGTTTTTCCAGGATTTTATTATTATGTTTCTTTATGATTCTTTCTAGATTTTTAGTGCAACTGTAACTTAATTTTAAGGTGTTTTTCTTAAAGATCTTGCTAAGTCGGCTATTAGTAGGAAAGTGTTTTTCAATTAAAGCTAGGAACTTATGTTTTAGCTTAATACTAACCATTTGGTTGAACGGAGGGGTATACCAAATGATTTTCCTTTTCCTGTTTTTCTTCTGGTTAGTACTATGGTTTCTATAATTTATGTTAGCGTTTTTGTATCCGCTATTTTTTAGGGCTGTGTTATAAAAATTACTGTGTTGTTGGAATATTTCCTTATTAGCGGAGTTCATGCTGATTCTTTTCTCTATTGATGTGAGTATATACTTACTTATAGACAGAGGGTGGTTTGACTTAGGGTGTACATACAAGTGTTTAGCGTTAGGTTTTCTGTAAGTTAGGTTTATGTTGTTCATTAAGTCTAGAGTTACTTCGATGAAGTTTACCCTTTTTAATTTAGTATTGACTGTAGTTTTTAAATTTAGTTTTCTGAATTCACTATATATATCTTTCTAATTGTATCTATTTTAAAATTTGTGGAGCTCCTCACTACCATGAGCCCGTCATTCCT